TTTTTTTTTTGCCTTCTATGTTTTAATATACGTCAAAACTTTTTTTTGGTCAATTATATATAGTAGTTACAACTATGTTGCTATTGGTCAGTGCCATTAAGTAGATTTTAACTCATAGCGACCCTGTATAGGTTTTCTGAGGAGTGGCTGTTGGGTTTGAACCACTGACATTGTGGTTCAAACTGACCTTTTGGTCCAGTGCTTATCCTGCAGTTCTACCTCAGACAATTTTATGGCTTATTTGTGCCCATTCCAACGAGAGGCGACCCAACAGAATGCGGAAATCATAAAACAATACCATTAGTAACACATGCAAGTGAAATTTTGCTGAAGAGAACTGAACAGTGCACTGACAGTAAACTGCCAGAAATTCAAGCCAGATTCAGAAGAGCATGTGGATTAGAGAAATCACTGCTGAGGGCAGATGGACCTTGGCTGAAAGCAGAGACTACCAGAAAGATGTGTACTGTGTTTTAGTGACTACACAAAGGCTTTCAATTGTGTGGATCATGACAACCTATGGACAGCATTGCAGAGAATGAGTATTCCAGAACATTTAATTGTGTTCATGGTGAACCTGTACTTAGACCAAGGGGCAGTTGTTCAAACAGAACACAGGGATATCAATGGTTTAAAATCCAGAAAGGTTTGTGCCAGGATTGTACCCTTTCACCATACTTAGGCAATTTGTACGATGAGCAAATAATCTGAGAAACGGTTATACGAAGAACGTGGCATCAGGACTGGAGGAAGATTCATATGCAAGGTAAGGCTGAAGCTGGAGAAAATTAAAACAAATCCATGAGCGTCAAAATATAACACTGAACATATCCCATCTGAATTTAGAAACCATTTGAAAACCACATTTGAGGCATCAGACACTAATGAATAAAGGCCAGAAGAGTTGTGTATCATTATTAAGAACATCATACAGGAAGAAAGCAAAAGATCATTAAAAATGTAGACAGGAAAGAAAGAAAACATAGATGTTAGAAGAGACTCTGAAACTTGTTCTTGAGTGCAGAGAAGCTAAAGTGAACGGAAGAACACCCCACACCTTGCAGACAGTACCCATTCGGCCTTGATGGCTTGATACTCAGAACTCAAGTAGAGGAAGATGAAAAAAAACAAAAATAATTTTTGATAAAGGAAACGAGGGTAAATTGCTACAATTTAATGAACTTGACCTACACTCATGGAGGTTAGTAATAGCTCAATATACCAACAGAGAGGGAAGGAGTCTTCACATCAAATATCAATGCTATCCACCCCAACTCCCTGCCCTCTGTATACAAGATACATATTGTTTAAGTGCCGTCGAGTTGGTTCTGACCCATAGCAACCCTGAACAGGGTTTCCGAGGCTGTAAATCTTTATGGGAGCAGAAAGCCTCATCATTTTCCCACGGAGCAGCTGGTAGTTTCGAACTGCTTATCTTGCGGTTCGCAGCCCGATTTGTAACCACTATGCTACCAGAGCTCCTTTAGGGATGGGCAATTTAGACATTGGTTATCTAAAATGAGGGGGTGATAAAGGCACAAAGTGACTGGCTTACAAGTTCAAGAGGGAGGGAGTTTAGTTTCAGAGTGTGAGGGAGAAGATAAGAGTCCCCACTGAATAGTATTCATCTTGTCTAGATGGGTCTGGTGAAAGGAAATGGGGATAAGATACTTACAATTCAATAATGAGTAATTGTTATCATGACAACTGTGAATGTCCCAACTGTAATGGTAGAAGTTTTGTAACAAAAATGGGAGAGTAGTTAATCGTACAATCCTGAAACACAGGACCCTAGGACCATCAAGGGAGACGAGCACAAGCGGAATGAGAGACCTTATCCAGAGAAGCAGCAACACCAGAGATGGAGGCAGAAATGGGGGACATGGAGAGAGGGAGCAGCTGAGGACTCTAAATTCATGGGAAGAGAGGGACTGGCTGAGGCTGACTTGCAGAATATGCTCTTTGGAGGTATAAATTATTATATATGCCTGAGTGTTTAGAAAAAAAGAAAAAAAAAGAGCTAAAATGAATAAAGAGAATACTGTTAACTGACAGTGCATGGAGAGGATTATAACCATTGTAATGAAACAAGGTATATGATTTGTTGAATGTAAAACTGATGATCTGCCCTGTAAACTTTCACTCAATCCACAATAAAAACTTAAAAAAAAAAATAAAAAAAAAGTGAATGGAAAAAATAAGGAAGTAAGAGAGGTGAACAGAAAAGTTCAAAGTGCAACTTGAGAAGGTAAAGTACAATATTAATATGAAATGTTCACAGACTTGGAGTTACAAAACCCAAAAGGAAAAACACGCTCAGCAACTCCCAAGCTGGAAGAATTGAAGAAAAAATTCAAGCCTCAACTTGCAATGAGGAAGAATTCTATGGGCAAAATATTGAATGATGCAGAAAGCATCCAAAGAATATAAGAAATGGTCAATGTTTGATCATTTCAAGAGATAGCATATGATCAAGAATGATGGTACTGTAGAAAGAAGTTCAAGCTGCACTGAAGGTGTTGGTGAAAAACAGGACTCCAGGAATTGATGGACTACAAACTGAAATCTTTCCACAAATTGTTGCAGCACTGGAGGCACTCACTCATCTATGCCAAGAAATTTGCAAGACAGCTACTTGGCCAACTGACTGTAAGAGATCCATATTTGTGCCCATTCCAAAGAGAGGTATCCTAACAGAAAGTGGAAATCATCAGACAACATTTTTTAAGTTAACACGCAAGTAAAATTTTGCTGAATATAATTAAAAAAAACAGCTGCCAACAGTACACAGACAGGGAGCTGCCAGAAATCCAAGTTGAATTTAGAAGAGGAAGTGGAACAAAGGATATCATTACCGACAGCAGACAGATCGTGCCTGAGCAGAAAATACTAGAAAGATGTTTTCTTGCACCTTAGTGACTCTGCAAAGGTTTTAGACTGTGGATCATGACAAGCTATGGACAACACTGTAAAGAATGAGTATTCTAGAACACTTAGTTGTGCTCATGGAGAACCTGTACATAGACCAAGAGGCAGTTGTTAGAACAAGATGATACTGAATGTTCTAAACTCAGGAAAGATGAGCACGAGGGTTGTATTTTTTCATCACACTTATTCTGTACGCTGAGCAAATAATCGCAGAAGGTGGGCTATATGAAGAAGAACGTGGCATCAGGATTGGACGAAGACTCATTAACAACCTGCAATATGCAGATGATACAACCTTGCTTTCTGGAAGCAGAGAGAACTTAAAATACTCAGGAAACTCAAACACTATATAGTCTTCAGTATGGACTGCACCTCAATGTAAAGAAAAGAAAAATCCTCCCCACTGATCATGATAAATGGAGAAAAGACTGAAGCCAAAGATTTTATTTCACTTGTATCCACAATCAACTTATGGAAGTAGCAGGCAAGAAATCAAATAACGTACCGCATTAGGCAAATCTGCTACACAAGAGACCTCTTTAAAGTGTTCAAGAGCCAAGATGTCAGTTTGAGACCTAAGGCATGCCTGACCCAGGTCACCTCATATGCATATGAAACTTGTACAATGAATAAATCAGACCACAGAAGAATTGATGCTTTTGAATTTTGGTGTTGGGAGGAAAATATTGAAGTACTATGTATGTAATGCCAGAACAAAACAAATCTGTGTTGTAAAAAAGTACAGCCAGAGTGCTCCTTGGAAGTCAGGATGGCGAGACTTTGTCTCTCATACTTTGGACGTGTTATCAGGAGGGACTAGTCCCTGGAGAAGGACATCATGCTTGGTAAAGTGCAGGGTCAGTAAAAAAGAGGACGACCCCAAGGAGAAGGACTGACCCAGTGGCAGCAGCCACTGGTGCAGAAGTAACCATGCCTGTGAGATCGGCGCCAGACCAGGCATGTTGCCGTCTATTGTGCACAGGGTCGCTGTGAGTTGGACCTGACTCCTTGGCACCTAACCACAACAACATTTTAACAACTAAGAAATAAAGCCTTAAGTCCCAGGCCAGTGTCAGGCAGGGGCCATACGGTGTGACTCGTGACATACATGACAACCCAACTGACTTCTCTAACATCACATGGTGTTGAAGACCTTTGAGAGACTTGTCACCCAGAAACTCAGAACTGAGCTTCTCAGTAAAGCCAGCGTGTGTGTGTATACGTGCACATTACTGTTGTCATTAAGTGAGTTGGTTCTGACTCATAGCAACCCTGTATAGGGTTTTTTAGCAGCGGCTGGTAAGCTTGAACCACTGACCTTGTGGTTCAAACCAACTTTGCAGTCCAGCACATTAACCCACAGCGGCCACACCAGGATTCCACATAGACAATGTTTACAAAGTTTATATACATAAACAATCATTTCAATATATTGTGGAGGTTATACAAGAACACCAGGAAAGGTCTTCCTTAAAAAAATATTCTTTGGAAGTGTGATGTGTCTGAGGATTTCCTGGGAAAAGAATGAGACGTGCAGGCGTGTGGGGCCCTCCCTGAGTCACGATCTGCACCAGCATCTCCAGGGCATGTCGACACGCAGCACAACACGGTGCCAGGGGCTGTGCCAGGGGCTGTGTCAGGGGCGGTGCCAGGGGCTGTGTCAGGGGCGGTGCCAGGGGCTGTGCCAGGGGTGGTGCCAGTAGAATGAGTGTTCTTGTTTCTTCTTGACGTAGTACAGGTGTGTGATGCGTCTTCAAAGAGTTTGTGGGAAAAATTCTATTATCTTTTAGCTCATCTTTTCACAAACTTTTTGAAGCCCGCTCGTACAATTCATTTTAGCAAAGATGACTTACTGCGAAGACAATTTATTTTTCTTGAGCCAATGTTATAAGCCTTGTTGTTAAATGCTGTCGAGTCGATTTTGACCCACAGTGACCCTGTATAGGGTTTCCAAGGAGCAGCTGGTGAGCTTGAACCACTGACCTTGCAGTTCAAACGACTTTGCAGTCTGACACATTAGCCCACACTGCCACACCAGGACTCCGTTTTATAAACCTAAATGGGTCTAATCTGGCTGGGAAAGGAAAGTCGGAGAGCTACATGAGGTCATGTTGGTAATTTCTGGAAGCTAAGGAATGGAAACAGGAACTTAGAAAAAAAGAGAAGTCAAAAATTATTTCCTCACAAGAATTCTCGTACTAGAAAACTCCGCGCCTGGCCTGACATGCCTTCCTTCTGTCTAGTAGGGAAGGTAACCTGGTGGCTCTGGAAGGGTAGGCTTTATTTCAGGAAGGGCTCAGCAGAGGCCCCGCTCTGCCAACAGCATCAAAGCAGGTGCCAGGTGTGGAGCCCGCCCCCACTGCAGGTACCCCCCATGCCGGATCTCTAACTTCTCGTCAGAAAACTGGGACTTGCCCCACTTGTTACAATTAGTATGGTGGCTATTTCAAGGAAAGGCTTGACAAGACGTTACTTTGGCCAGAATTGTACAAGAGAATTCTAAAACAGGTCAGAGAGAGAAGAGATCCCTCCTCAAGCTGACCCAGAACTCTACAAGCAAGCGGAGCCTTCCCCAGACAGTAAGTAACTCCAGGGATGGCCATGACCTACCTGGTCCCTGTTGTTGATGTTTGAATAAGGCAACTGCCCAGTCATTAGTTCATACAGAACAATCCCGAATGCATACACATCGGACTGAAAGCTGTAGGGGTTTTTATCTTGCATTCTGATTACTTCTGGTGCCTGTTAGAACATAAAAAGAAAATATTCTGCTTTATTTTTGTGACTACAAACTGAAATTAAAACAAGCGCACTTCCCAGAGCAGTTTTTTATCATTGAAGAAGCCAGCTAGCAGCTAATCAAGTCGGGAAGTGGGCTAAGCACTGGGTTGCTAACCACGAGGTCAGCAGTTCGAATCCAACTGTTGCTCTGTGGGAGAAAGATGAGACTTCCTGTCCCACGGATATCCCCAGCCAGAGAAACCCCATACAGGAACGGACTAGATAGCACACAACAATAGTATGATATTAACAGTTATCTTATTGGGGGTTAAAGGAACAAGCAGATTCAGAAAAACTCAGGGAAAAAAGGCTGCTCTGAAAATTCTGAAGGAGGCAGAGTGAACGGAAACTCCCTCAAAACATCACTAAGATGTCACCATTTCACTAGCCACCCTCTTCGGGCACAAAACACCTTAGATGCAATTCGAACTCTTTCTAGGACTTACTCTATATCAAGGACCCAGTCCCACTTCCCATCTACCAAGTGTTAACAAAGTCTAAAACATGATCATCTGTCACTTGTCCCCAAGGAGGTTCCCGAAAAGGGAGGACCATTCCTGAGGATTCTATTGAGCCCAGGTTTCCCACAGCACTCAAAAGAAAAGCATCTTTAAAATCCACGGATCACGTTTTCATCATCCTGGGTCTGGCTGTTTCAGCACTTACAATCGTTTGTTCTCCCTCCTTTTAGGACCTGCAGCCAACGTTCTTACAAGGTGTGGCTTTACAGGTATCTGAATTGCAGATCCTAAGGACTCACTGGTCTCCACTGGTTTACAACGACTTATTGAAACAGTTAAACAGACATTAAAGAATTTTTAAAAAGTATCCAGCAAGCTCCACTGACTGAATCTTAGAAACAGAAGGCCAGAAACTTGCTAGTCCAACCCCCCCACCTTACAGCTGGAGAGTCACAGGGGGTTAGGTTAGGACACTTGAAAGGACACCGATGCTCCCGCTGCCCCTCCAGCCTGGCTGCTCCCGCTGCCTCAATTGATCTCAACAAGGAAAGGCAGCTCCCACCTTGGGCTCCTCCGATGGCTCAGGGGACACGGGCAAGCTTCACATGCCCCCGCAGCTCTAGCTTCCAACATGGTACATCCAAAATCTTCAGCAGGAGAAGTTATTTAGAGCTTCAAACCGCCTCAGACTTTAGGGACACCCTCTGTTCAGTTTAGAGCAATGGCTCTCAACCTTTTTAGGCTCAGGACTCTCTTCCACTTTTAAAAATTATTCAGGACACAGAAGAGCTTATGTTCATTCATGTGGGTGATATGTGTGGATATTTATTATTTTAAAACTGAACATGTAACTTTTAAAAATATTTGATTCATTTAAGTAAAAATTAAAGACTGCACCATTACATGTTAATACAGACCACCCAGTTTTTTATTTTTAATTTTTCAAATAAAAAAATAAAGATTTCAAAAACAAAACAAAATAAGAAAGGAGGGTAGGAAGAGCCACCTCGGTTCTCCTGATGGTCTGGCCCAGCAGTGACCGTTGGGCCCCATCTGCTACCCTCGCTGTTTGGGTTGGAGGTTGTGAAGGCTCTGGTTTCACACAGGGGGGCGGTAGGGACGACCGTGAGGTCCTTTGAAAGCACCTAAGGGGTTTTGGAAGCCCAAGGGTCTCTGGCTGTCTTCTTCCCACAAAGTAGAAGTCAGAATAAAGCGAGCCATGCAGGGCTGTAACGGCTACTTCTTGTTCGGGTCGTTTCTCTCCCAGCAGCAGCTCCATAACCACAAGGTTCTGTCTAGGCTGAAGGAAATAACTTCCCAATTCAGGCTCAAATAAAACTGGGAAATCACGTCTCCTAAGAAAGAGCTGTTCTCAGAACAATCAATGTTTACAGACCATGCCTTCTGCAAAGGCAGGTATTTCTGAGCACAAAATAATTTAATCAGACAACTCTGAATAAAATTGAAACAACTACAACATATATATTTGCTTCAAATATTTAAAAACTGGTTTTACAATATTCTTCTTAAAGATGAGACATAAATGAGACTCGACTGACATACAAGCTGAGAGCCACACTGATGTTTGAGAGTCGTGGGGGTTACGGACACATGACCCACTGGCCCTTCAATGGTTGTCTAGCAACTCAGCAACACACTGGGGCTCAGAGGTAGAGTTACAGGAGAAAGAGGCTCGATTCTTACCATCCACAAAATGGATCCAGACAGCTGTTCAAACTGGTGGGACCCACTCCACCGAGACTTCACTGTGGCAAGACCAAAATCTCCAATTTTTACTGTGAGGTCTTCATGAAGAAATATATCTGAGGTGTGGTTAAGTAAAGGAAAACAAGCAATCTTATTTTCCTGTCAGAGCACGCATTACCAACACGTAGGTGAAACAGCCAATTTCTGTAAGTTCTGAAATATGACAGTCTTTAAAAAAGCACAGTACTTTGTAATTCTTCTTAAAGATCAGATATGTGTTAGAAACAATTAGTTCTCTCTAGTCGACAGGACCTACTGTTAAGATTGAGTGGGTTTGGGATGTGCTTGGAGGAGGTGAGATGCCATTCCCACTGGACTTGAGGACCCTGCAGGCCTGGGCAGGAGACCTCTTGTCTGGGCGTAGGGAGAAGACGGCCCCTTCTGGGTTTCTTACTCATGGGTGAGTTGATGTAGCACAAGGTCAGAAACGGACAGTTTTACAGCACTGACAGACCCTGACAGACCCTGAGCAGTTTTTTTTGTCGTGCTCAAATGGACCCGAAACCCAAAGGAGGTATCTGCAGGCAGCTTGTTCCACCCTCTCACACACACCCGCTCATTCGTTCTCTTTACGGTACAAGGAACTCGGCATGAAGACTGCTTCTGCAGACCGCGCAGGCAGGCCAAGGCCGCGCAGGCAGACCGCGCAGGCAGACCGCGCAGGCAGACAAAGGCCGCTGTTAAATCTCAGGAAGGATACTGTTACTCTTGAGGTCCCTGTGGATGATTGACTTGGCATGTAAGTAACTGAAAAACAAAACAGGATTGAACCTGAGTAGGCTTACAGGACTCTGGGTTCACACATGGGCTATGAAGACTTTTCTAGAATCAGGACACAATCGCAAATCACAGAAAAGCATCGTGATAACCCCTGAACTTAAGACATATGAGAATAAATTATACATGAAGTAATGATTCTAAGACAATATTGCTCTTACTATACCGGCAAAATCTGGTTTTCTATTAAGAGTGTTTGCTTATCTTTTATAATTTACCAATACAAACCTTTGTCTCCATTCTAGTCTGTCTGTGCCCTTTAAAGACACTTTGATTGACTCCCACCTGTGTTCAATGCTTCTTGTCCCCCCAAACTAGCCCCCCATTCACACGTGTTCTTTCAAAGGTATGTTAACAGTGACTTGTAGAGTCATTAACAACAGTTAGGGCTGCAGATCAGAGGTCAAAGCTCCTGTCAGGATGACCCTGACTCTCCGAACATCCACCAGGCCAAGCAGTGGCTCTGAGCGAGCGTCACACTGACTACCAGCTAGGCCCTGGCTCTAGAACCATCTACCAACCTGGACCTCAAAACAGAGTTTGACTGGTTTCTAACCACAGAAACAGTGCAACTCAATAGAGAAAACACTGGGCTTCAGTTATTGGTTCTAGAGAAGACAATGGGGCTTTCCTTGTTACCAGCATTCACTCCTACCACTCAGCTGTGTGTTCCAGTGAATCAAACCCATTTACATCTCGCAGCTTGTACACAAGGCATCCAGACATTCTTTTTGAACTGTTAATAAATTCGTCTTAAGCCATACAGTATACAGTTTATAGAACAGCTCTCAATTCTGTTTTGGGTGAGGACCCCTTAAGAAAATTCTAAGAAGGTATGTAATTATTTGCATATTTTAGCAATTTGTATGTATGTGTGTATGTGTATATATAAGGAGCTCTGGTATCAGCCATGGTAGTTATGAGTTGGGCTGCTACCCTCAAGGTCAGCAGTTCGAAACTACCAGCTGTTCCATGAGAGAAAGATAAGGCTTTCTGCTCCCTTAAAGAGTTACAGCCTCAGAAATCCTATACAGGGTCGCTATGAGTTGGAACTGACTCCATGGCACATAACCAATCAAAACCAACCATTTGTGTATGTTTATGTATACACCACACACACACACACATACGTATTGTTTGTTTCGTGGTTAGAAAGCCTTTTCTTTCTCTGATGAACAGGATGGTTTCTGGGGAAGGGGAGCTCTTCTTCAGGCAGCGTTGTCTGCTTCCCCCAGATACCTTTCTTCCCTTGGTCTATTGTAGTCTCTTACTTACTACTCAGAAAGGCTGTTGATCCTGAGGTAGCCTGTTATGGAGACTAAGGGGGGGATGACAAAGTTGTCTGGAAGCTGAAAGCATGTGGAAAGGTGACCCAGGTGGACTCTCTGATATCACTAGCTCTGAGAAGACTCTTCCACCCTCCTGTCCGCAGGGAGCTGCCAGCATGCTGGGAACCAATGAACTCCAAGGCTTGAGGGACTCTCCAGCCATCACCTGGTGAGCCAACAGACACTCACCCTCAGTCTTAGGTAACGTACCCACAGCCTAGACAGATAGGGCCTAGGTTCCAAATAGCCAGAGAGATTTGTTTGACCTTCTCCAGAAAACAGATTTCCAGTCACCCACTGGCAGAGCAGAAGGGCCTGAGAGAGACAACTGCTTGTCACACAGGCTCCACCCCCAGTTCCAGAGACACGTGGTCCCATCAGTTCCGGAGCCTCCTGAAGATGCTTTAGTACCAGGCAGGTTGGGTTCATTTCTTAGATGTGCACTGATTTGTTTTTAGGGGTCTACCAACTCTATGACCTGGTGTGATGCTGTAGGATAAGCACTAAACTGCTAACTGCAAGGTTTATGGTTAAAACGCATCAGTCACTCCTTGGAAACTCTATACCGGGTTCACTGTGAGTCGGAACTGATGCCGATGCTCTAGACAACAACTCCATGCGCTTTCCGGCTTCTCGAGTGCCATTACTGTCTCCCCTCTGTTACCCTCGTCCTGATCAGTGGACGCTTTCTAGACCTGAGTTCTTGGTCATAGTTGTAGTGGGGTTTAAGAAGCAAGCAGAAACCTGTCACCTTACCCTGAAATCCACATAGCCATTTAAGACTTTCAACTAGAGGATGCCTTTAGCAACCAAAGAAGTGTTGGTATCCATCTGCATGCCAACTGTCTCACAGAAAAGGAAAAGGAACTGGATCTCCTCTGGCTAATTTTAGTTGTTAATAAAACCAAACTCTGTGAAGCCAAAAAACCATACCAGTTGCCACGGAGCCAACTGGGGCTCATATTACACCCAGTGTGTCAGGGCAGAACTGTGCTCCATGGGGTTCTCAATGGCTCAGACCTCTTGGAAGAAGACTGCCAGACTGTCCTCCTAGGGTGCCTCTGGGTGAGTTCGAATGGTCAAACTTTCAGTCACCAAGCACTTAACACTCTGTACCACCCAGGGATTCTGCTAGAGGCAGAAAGCTTGCAGTGAACAGACTTGTTTCATAGTGAAATCGAGGATAAAATGGGTGGCCCCTGTCCAGAGCTGGACACTCTATGCAGCCAAGCAACTTAGGAGCATAGCAGACACACTAGCTGTGGTGGAAAGCATGGCCTCTCGCTGCCCGCTTCTCCAATGAGACAGCCTGCTTCTCTGCTGCCTCCCTAACCCCACACTGCTTCTAGAAACAACTGTTGGTACCTTTCTCTGCTGCCTCTGTTTCCATCCAAACCCTCTCTCCTTCTCTTCTCAGAACTTTTTCTTTTCCTGGACATGCTTCAATTTTGACATGAGAAGGACCTGGGGTTTCTTTGTCTTCTAGAAGGAAAGCCTTCAGTGATGTGCAAGGGTGGGGGTCACTTGTGTTCTCATTGAACAGACATGTACAGAGTGCTTACTACTGGCCAGGCTCTATCCCAGGCATTGGCTACTTTGTATTCCTGGGGTATGACAGACAATAGTCAATACATCATATGAGTGTTGTGGAGAAAAAGCAAGGGTAAGAGGTATGGGGAGGGTCAAAGAGGTATGGGCACATGTTAATTACATAAGGCGATCAGAGAAAGCTTTTAGTACGAGGTGACATCTGAAAGGAACGTATGGGAGAAGCTCTGCGCATGTCTGGAGCCCAGTCTTCCAAAGAAGTTGCGCACAGAAGGCCCCGAGGAGGCCATGATTGGTCTGCTAAAGAGAACAGAGATCCGTGGAGAAGGAGCGGGACATGCTTCAGATCACACGAAGTGTCCCCAGCTTTCTCCATGGTGTTATTCTTCATACCATCTGGCAGATTCTAACAGATTCGATACTAACTTATTAGGAAAGTTGAAAATGTTGAAAGGGTAGCAGATTAGTGGGAATGTTAATGACTAAGATAATAATTTGCTAAGAGAAGTATTCTGGCTGAACACGGGCTTGTGAGCAATCTCAATGAAAGGACCACTGTCCAGGCTGGGGACGCTGAGGGTCATACAGTGAGGAGATCTGAGAAGCAGACTTGAGTTCTGGTTCTGCATTCACTTGCTAAACTGATCCTGAGTCAGGGTACATATACTTGCTTATGCTTTATTCCCAGTTGACAATGCAGCTGTGGCAGGATGAAGGCTGAAGGAAGAAGGCTGAAGACGGAGCCAGAAATCCTGACTTTAACACCTTTGCTGCTACTTAATCAACTATGTGTGCTCTTAAGCAAGTCATTTAATAGCCTATTTCCTTATCTGTAAGAAAAAGAAATGATCTCCTTCACAATATTATAAAGATGAAGTGACTTTAGTGCCTAGGAAAGCAATCTGTACACTACCAAATGTCAAGTTATTTTCAGAGAGCTATTTTTAACTCCTCTGAGAGCCTTCAAATTTATGTCACTCAGATTTGCTTAGGTTTTTCATTTCAGCACTTTCAAATGATACTGAATTTTACCTTGTGATCGACTCACTCTTTTGTACGTGGAGTTGTACACAAAGTTGAGCCTCCTGGGTTCCCCATTTCAGCCTACAACAAATAATGCAACAAAGCCTCTCTTTTTAAATCACATGGCAAAATTCAATCAAAACGGACAACTCCACTTTGAAATCATCCACAAGGATCAAAATGTTCATCCTCCTTTTATTCAGGGACTATTTTTCAACAGAAAGTATGTAGCAATGACTGTGTGTGCTCCAATCACTGTGAGACTCTTGGGAGGGGGTGTGGGAGGGTGGGGGGTTTGGCCTCGTGCTTCCGGAAACATTACTGCTTAGCTAAATCATTGTCGGCTACACAAGAATCCCAGTCACAGACTTACTACCAAGTACCTGGCTATGAAGACCGTTCTAGAAGGAGACCATCTGAGTTCTCAGCATCATGTTGTCACTCATTAGACAGAACAGTGTGAAACGCAATCCACATGCGTCACCCACACCCAGAGGACGGGACTTACTCCATGCCCTGGGCAGTCTGCCGTGCGATGTCGATGAGCTTGATCATCTCAAATTTGGTCTCGATGATGTGCAGGTGGTGGTACAGGCTGGAACCCTCACACCACTGGGTAACGATGGCCAGCTGTGGCTTTGTGGAGTAGCCCATGAAGAGGAGGATATTCACGTGCCGTGTTTTCCTGGAGAGACACGTGACAGCAAGGTCTGTTTAAAAAGACAGCCAAGGCAGTCGGCCCAGCAGGAAGCCACTGTTGGACTTTAGATACGGTGTTGGTCTTGGCCAACCCCCCTGTCTACTGAGAAATGCCTTCCTTTCCTACAGCGGCCAAGCAGGCACTTAGAAGTTGCCTTAAGTGGCTTTGACTCCCTCCTTTATAATGGCTCTAGTATTCACAGTTTTCTTGGGTTGAGACTAAACCATTTCTCTACATCTTTCAGCACTGGTTTTCCAGTTCTGCTCGCTGGAATAAAACCGAATACATCTGCATCCTCTTGAAGACAGCAGCCTTTTCTTTTTAAGAAGAATGCGGTGGTTGTTGCTGAACATACACACAGCAGAACATAAAATCCAATTTCGATAAGTGTGTTTCAACACACCGATGACATTCTTCAAGCTGCGCGACTGCTCTCACTTGCCTTTTCCAAACGGTTCCCCTTCCATAACAAAACCCCCCCCCCACACACACCCATTTCGGATCTAATGTGGAGCAGCTGCTGGCCCTTTGCTCCTACACAGACAGTTCTTTCTAGAGCACAGTGCTCCAGCAGGCTGGCATTCTTCCCTACACCTAAGCAGTGTTGTTTGGTCTAAAGAAGACTGCAGGGGAGAGCTTTAAAGCTGTAGGCTAAAAGGTGATCTCAGGGCAGCTGCAATGCATGTTCACCAGGCTCAAAGAATCCAGGAAGTCTGGATTCCATGAGGATTTGAAATTCTGCCTGAAGTCCTTTCGGACAAAATATCCTCAGTCTCTCAACTTCTTTCCCTCTGAATAATGAGACACCATCCCAGTTAGCTGGTTTCTCACGTTCCAGCTCTTCTAAGCTTTTTATCTTGACAGCATCCTTTTCATAGGGGAACGGTCATTTCTCAGGTCCAGAATTACACATGTCCATTACACCAGTTCAGAGTCCTGGAATTTTGGAAACGTTACTTCCATACAGAACGATGATTTCTTGTGTCCAAAATTACATGTCTAGTATGTATTTTCCACAGGGTAACCATGATTTCTTGGAACCAGAATTCTACAGTCCCATTACACCGGTTCCAGATGAAGTCTTTGAAGAGCTCAGCCCTCTGAAAAGACTGGAGTAGCACAAAACAGACCTAGGAAGCTGGAAGCTCTTTCTAGGAGCTTCTCTATTCTGAGTAACTTAGGAACGCTGGCGGTGGCTGCCACTGGGAAACTGAGCTGGTGAAAACAACGTCTCTGGTACACAGAAATTGCGGCCAGCTCACCTGAGCACTCCTACTTCGTTTTTGAAGGCCTGTAGCTGCTGAGGTGTGGGTGCTGTCACGTTCAGCATTTTCACCGCCACATCACCTGCAAGGATGGCCATTCCAATTGTCATTACAATTTTAAAACACTGAAGCAGACCCAAAATTTCTTGGTTATCCATAGCAGTATGAAGTGAAAATAAATTATGCTTACCTTTATGAACTATATTAATTTTCTACGGTTAGAAACGAACCCTGCACTGATAGTCCTAGACGTGTATTGCAAAATATCAAACCACAAAACAGCTAAGTTTGCTTTTCCCCTGGCGTTCACTCAGCCAGTTAAGCACCCAGCTATTTTACATTATGAGATCAGCTGCGTTCACTACTCAAGTCATGGCTGAAGCTGTGAATGACAGGCCCAACCAAAGTTTCCTGGCTTGAAGCAGAAAACTACAGAACTTTATCCGGCAGTTCCTGCTTTGTTAGTTCATGGCGCCCATGGTCCTCTGTTTAGCAGGACCAGGAACACTGCAGCTTTTGTTTATTCTAAACAGTGCCAGTGGGTGTTCACATTGCACAGCCCCTCGGCACAACGGCCGCTGCTCACACTAAACTTGTGCATACTTCTCTCCTGGGCAGATAAGCCTGTAAAAACAGACACGTCTCTTTAGCCAAGGACATGCTCAAGAATATTCAGAGCAGCCCTGCCAGTGATCATCTCAAACTGCTAAGGATCCAGATGCTTGTCAGCGAGTCCAGTGGAGAAAGAAATCCAGTTAGGGGTGCACAAAGGAATAGCAGCTGGTCCTGAGAGTGAACCATCTATAAGCGCCCACAACAACAGAGATGCAGCCCAGGCAAAAGGGTCAGTTCTGAGCGGGATGAACCTGGGCTGGGGGGCAGAGCTACTCTGTCGGCCGACCAGAGACCTACTCACTGTGTGAGAGATGCTCAGCTCCTTATAGGCTCATGAAACAATGCTCTTTCTTGCAAAGTATATTAATTACACTTCAAAAAAAAGTTAAATGTGATTACTTCTGATAATCAAAGTACCACAGTACTTACTGTAAAAATTTAAAAATTTGAAAGCAAAAAGAGAAAAAAAAAAAATTTGTCATAGTGACTCACTCGGAGACCACCAATGCTAACATATGCACACAGCCTTCTAGGCGCTGACGGGCAGGCGGACTGAGCATATGTGGGTACAAGTGAGGTGACCACCTGAGGGACACATGCTAAGCTACAGAGTCATTTTCTTGATGGCGCTAGAGACCCACGCCAAAGCAACACCAGTGGGAGAAATGTGAGGTATCAGCTTCTCCAAGAAATACAACCTCAGAAACCCCAGGGAGCAGCTCTGTGTGGTCCTACGGGCTCACCATGAGGAGTAGCCGACTCTAGGGCGCTGGGTTTGGCTCTATGTATCATTATCATGTGGAATGTTGTACAAACTGCTTTGTAAAGCTGAACACACCACAGTCCCCATCCATAGGACTAAGCACAGCTCTAACTCATTTTAATGGCTACAGAGTATGCATGCAACAAGTATCAATTTCTTCACCTAACTTTCATCTAAGGGGCACTAAAGTTTACTTGCATTTTTCATTATTATTAACTATGATACATTTACTTGTATACACTTGTTCACTGCTCTTCAATTCCCTCTTCAGGATTAAGCCAATAGATAGGATGGCTGGCTAGGAAGGTTTGTGTTCTTAGAGATGGTTAATTACCAAACTGCCCTCCTGAACATTTCCTTTCCCATCAGTGAATTACACATAGAACTCATCAGCTTTTAAAATCTTTGAAAGACAAATAATGATTTCTATTTTTCACTTTGCACTTCTTTAATATGCAGCTTACCAGCCACTGCTGTTTCTTCCTTTGGTAAACACACTTCCCTATACTGACTTTTATTTATAATACAATGAGCATCAGAGAGATTTTTAAAAGAGAAACACCACCTGGGACTCGCTCAGCTGCGGCTCTTCTCCTATCAGCCTCTCTAGAACAGGGAGCGTGCCATCAAGTTGTGTACGTACCATGCCACTTGCCCTTGTACACGGTTCCAAATGACCCAGATCCAATTCTCTGTCCAACTGTGATCTGTCCATCGGGAATCTCCCAGTCGTCACTTGAATCCCGCCTACCAAGGGTTTTCTTGATAAAAACAAGGCAAAAGTCAAACCAGATCCAACGTAGAAGGAAACTCCTATGTTTGGGACTAAGTCATTCTCTATGTCTGAGAGGGGCAGACCACAAAAGATAGAAAATCAGATCTATTTGTATAACGTATCCACTGAAGGAGTAAAAAGTATGACTCTTAAAATGCACCAAACTTAGACATTAAAAACAATTTACTAAAAATGAGAAATCTTTTACTGGGTCTACACAGAGACAAGTATGCCTAAAATCAATAAAATCCAACAACTTTTCATCATTTGGGGATGACAAGGGGCAAGGTAAGTAGCACACATTTATAACTAGTTCTGGGACAAAATCGCCCCAGATTAAATTAACCTTCTATGGTTACTGCTGATTCATTTGTCTAATTACACTCCCTCTGTCTCTCGATCCAGGTTAAATTCTCTCATCTACCTTATCTGATCCACTCAAGAAAATAAAAAAAGTAATCTATACAATCAGTTAAGCTCTGCTGATCCAACACATACTGCTGTTAAAATCATTAGTTTTTAAAATATAGGTTCATTTTGCAGCAGAAAGTTCATTTTTTAAATAGGAAAAAATGGAATTTGTAGACCAGCCGTTTAGGATGTAGGATTAAACATTCTCCCCCAACACCAAGTACCGGTGTTGTGGGAGGGAATGTGCTTGAAGTAAAAACTACAAACAGTGATGGGACTTTCATATCCCATGTGGACAGACGGCTATATCGAAAACAACATCACAGATGTCTACAAAGAGCGCTGGGAGGGACACACACATCAAGTCTTACCATCCGATTCCTATCTTCTGAGGAGGACGAGGACTTGCGCTCCCGCTGAGGTCCCGGAGATTTCTGTAAGGCTTTCACGTTGGTGAGGGATCCAGGTAAGGATGCGGGTGGGGTGGCCGACAAGCCTGGGGTCGAAGCTGAGGGAGTAGAAGGAGAGGAGGCTGGAGCTCAGTACTTATGGGCACGGCAGGGAGACTGGGCCCTATGGAAAGGTGTGGTGCAGGCTCAGTGTGGACTTTGGGAAGGGTAGGTCAAGGGGCCTTGTGGGGGGACATATACTAGGATGTCTTTTAGGTTTCTGATAATTTTAAGAATCACATACCTGACTACAGACTTTTACTCTGTTTACTGACTGAGAACCTAGAATAGGAACAATTCCTCTACAGCATGAGACAAATACTACAAACATACACCTCCCAAATGGTGCCTGACAGCCCAGCTGTGAACTGAGCAGGACTCATCTAGCTGTTGGGCTGCCTGGCTCCTTTCACCAGCATGAAGCCTGATCTCTCAGGCAGGTTTCACTGTCTCCGATGAACTCTGTCTACCTTTAATGCCCACTATCTACAACCTCCGGATTTTCCAAGACTGCTGGGGAGCAGGCAAAAAACCTCAGGCGTAGCCACTTTGTTCCAAACAACCAGCAGGAGCTAGTAAATGTAACCCTTTCAAAGGGTTCAGAACTGTGAGCTGTTGGATGTAAAATGATCATCGGTCCTGCAAACCTTCACTCAATTCACAATAAAAACTTTAGAAAAAAATTCATAGCAAGACACCTGTACCAATTTTGATTTATATTTTTAAGAAATCCATCAAACCACTAGTTAAAAGTATGGCAAGATGAAACGGGCCAGTGATGTCGAGGACCTTTTTCTTTGAAGCTAGGAGGCCTCAGGTATACTAAATATCCAAACATACACTGTCAATCTTTCTTACAGCTCCCTACTTTTGACATCAGAAAGAAAAGGACTCCTGGTAAAATGAGAGATTCTCAAATCAAACCCAAAACCCAATGAAATCTCTGGTAACAGCACTCCCCATTTCTATTTTCTTATAAACCACATAAATGAATTATAATAAGTATTAGTAGTCACCAAGGTTATTACCTAAAATAAAGGGAATTTAGACTGAAGATAGCCTCCCCCCTAATGATTTATTCCCACCCACTGAATGTGGCGTTCTCAAGACCAAGAAGTAAGCAACATAGCAAAAACCAAGATGGCGCTGTGCTCCGCCCCTCCTTGCTCTGCAGTACGTGTCGGCTGCACACAGAAGCTTGTGGAGTGAGTGTGTGGAGAAGCACATTCAGAACATCCCAGCCAGGCCGAGCAGACTCAGCACCACAAACGCATACACGCACGCGCACACGCCATGAGGGTGAGCACAAACAGCATCTGTGATTTGGACGGAGTTTGTTTTGGGTGAAAACAAGAAAGAAGAGCCCAACTACCTCGGAACACTGGGCCAGGCTCAAAATCAAACACTATTTCACTGGGGACAGAATGGAGGAGGGGGCTGGGAGTCCGGGATTGGTATTTCCGAAGACAGCGCGCCAGCTGGTTCAAAGGGGCTGTGAGAAGAGAAAGAAAGGGGCAGGCAGACACGGGCAGACAGACATATAGAAGAAATGAAAGAAGTCATGGGGTCAGTACGGTGACTTGAAGCCTGCTTCACAAAGTCACTCTGGATGTTTAAAAAAAATCAGATAATTTTCTTAACATCCCAATGGTTTTAAAAACAGGACTCCTGAAAAGGATGGGAAATGTCACTTGATTTTAAGGGCTGAGCAGGCAGTTTCTGTGACTCCGTTAAACTCTGTGACGCTCACAGGATGGCAACACTTAATGCTCAATGTGTTGGCAAAACTATCAAAAGCCACAGCTATGGAGACACATGGAAGTCATACTGGCAACAACAGTAATTGGCAGGTTCATGGAATAACAAACAAAAAAACAACAACAAAAACTCATAGAGCTATTTGCTACAATAAATACTAAGTCCCGAGTGGTCAATGCAGGGGTCCACTTGGTAGCTACCTGGGTGTAGAGAGTCTATTTTATCAATATAGAATGGTGTGAGTCCAGGCTTAAGAGACTTTCCAAATTAGGCATGTCCCAGGGACGAGACCAACTAGATGGGGTGGCGGAATGTGGTGCACCTCTTGGAGGACACCACCAAGAGACTCCCAAACACCACCTCCTGGAAAACAGTAGATGGGATCAATTCTGATATAAAGAACTTCTTGAGTAATGCGCCAATGTTCACTGGGGGCTAGAGTGGACATCCACAGGAATTCTGCAAGAATTCTCCACTCAATGTCTTGTTTTGACTGAACTAGTATGAGGGCAAGGGGCTGTTGTATGAGGGTCCAGTCTGTGGATTGTACACTTCACACTCCTCTAGAAGGCCGAAGGGAAATGGTAGACAGGATCTGACTACCGGTGAGTCATGAATGAGATGCGGCTTCTAGGGGACCACCCATCTTCCCGGGATTTGGGAAAGTGAGCTGAACCAGATTCGAAGCTCCGCCTGTAAATTTTAGCATGAGGCCTCAAAGGAAACTGAGCCAGTCCTACTGTGAAGATGGCCAGGGATTAAGGAAGGGTGTAGACTAATTAGGGGAACAAGTGTTTGAAACTGTAGCGAGTACATTTAAAAGCCCATTTCAGGACCTGTCACCTGCTCTATGCATGTCATGAATGAGAGCATATTTCATTAGAGATAAATGCCAAATATTAAAAAGAAACAAAAAACCTAGCGTTTTCTCTACACATTTTTCTCTGCGTCTGTGTTTCATGAAAGAAGCAAATATAAAGGAAACAAGCAGCAAAGCTATTGAATTTTTCTCTGAGTTTTGTTATTTTTTTTTGAAACTGAGATCATTACTTACCTCCATCACCACGAAACCCCTGGTCTCTAATCAAGTCCTACAAATAAACAGTAATGCATATTTATTCAAAGCACACGGTAAGAACATAGTAACAGCACAGAATCTTCCACAAGCAGAGGTGAATTTAGTCATCAACAGAAAGGCTAACTTAAAATAAGACTTGTCATACAATGATGTCACACAACTGGAAAAATATGGAACGTGCTAGTAAACGTTATACAACATAAATTTGGAAGCACCTGCTATCCTGACCCCATGTTGAAAGGATCATTATTATGTAAATGTGCTGTTCAGTCAGCTCCTACAGAGTTTCCAAGGAACAGCTGATGGGTTTAAACTGCAGACCTTGTGGTTAACAGTCCAGTGTTTATCCTACAGTGCAACACACCAGGAGTCCAAAGAGGTTAATGTTGTTGTTGTTGTCAGGTGCCATCGAGTCAGAGCCGACTCATAGCGACTCCATGCACAGCAGAACGAAACAATGTCCGATCCTGGGCCAACCTCACTACCGCTGCCACACTTGAGTCCATCAATGAT